TGTGTGTACAGTATTTGTGGTTTGAAGTGAATAGAAATTGGAAAGTAAATCGCATTTACCAAGTGTGTCTTTCAAGGACCCTGAGAATGGCCAAAATGACCATAGGTGGTTCAGGGTAAGCTGCTTGCATCCAAAATGGTAGACCTCCTGTGTTTTTGTGGGTCTACTCTTGATAGACATGCCTACCAAATTTCATAATGTGGAGTTAAAACAGTTTTCGGGCCTGAAATAAAATTTTTGGGGTACTCACCCATAACTTCTACCATACATGGGTCTTGGTCCCAAATGCTTTCAAATAGCGATAGTCCACTGTACATTTAGATTTGACCCCATAGCCGTTTGGTCAGCTATAACTTTTCGTCAAGGTGAAGAACCCAAATTTGGGGGCCCAAGCCAGAACTTCAGCATACCTTTCAACATGGCAACTACCCAATGATGAGTCTACTTGTGTTTATGTCTAACTGTGTGTGTGTCTGTATGTCTCGCCATTTTTCTGTATGCAGCCCAATGAAGCAGCTGCCAAGAGCTTAGCAGGCTGTTGCTAGGCGATGGTATTTCAAATCAGTCTTTCTCTAGATGCCGAAGACATCGTCTTGTTGTCTCCTGTTGTTTTTTTTTCTCTCCTTTAATCGCGAAAACTGATGTCTGCCTCATTAGTCAACCGCACTGTTTTCTTTGACCACTGGACCTCTTAGATCATGTCAAAAACAGGGAGAGTCAATTTATTACTGCTGCAAAGCATCATACACAAAGCCGTTAGTAATATTTGTGTAATCCTGTCATTTTTTTCCTTTTTTTTTTTTTTTTGTCAAGTAGCGTGATCATGACAGCAACAGGAATCTCCCCGAGAGGTGTTTTGACTGCTACAGAACCTTTAATCCCGCCGACGCCGCAACAGCGTGTCGACACTCCGTCGCGCTCAACTAATCGCGGGCATATAAAAGGATCGCCGTTTGGTATTACGGCGGATAATCCCGCTCTTTCCGAGTCGGCCCCACGCTTTTTAGGTCTCAAAGAATGCACACTTAGTCGCTGGAATCTTTCTACTCTGTAAACTCTGTTTCTCACTGTAATATAGATTAAAAAAAATACAGGCACGGGGGCCCTCAAGAACGCTTATTGCTAATACAAAGCAAATATTCTGTTTTGACTAACATTTTATTTTTTTATGAACAATTAGGAAACCAAAGAAATAGAAATATGCTGTTCTCAATTGTACTGTAATAACTCAATTGTACATTTTCAAGGGCATGTCAACGACTTTTCTTCTTTTTTTAATAGATGTGTCAGGGCTCGGCCCCTGATTACCGTTATCGGTTCCTGTGTCAAACGTGTTTATAAATTTACAGGCAACGTTTTAAGTAACATTTATCACATGCTTGGATTTTCAATCAGGAACGGTAGCCACAATGAAGCTTAAAAGCTCTTTGAACCACGATGGTGAAGCCATAAAGCTATAAACAAGTTAAACAATAACTGTTGTTGGTTAAAAATAATAAATAAATACATACATACATAAATACAGGGGAACACAATAAGACCCATATGTTAACTTATGTTAATAGCCAAGTAGACTTGAAAAAGGGCCGCTTCGAACCAAAATGGTGGCTTTGGTGTTTTTTAAGCATTTCTACTTGAGTCTTGTTTGGGGTCTGTTCATGATAGACTTGCTGACCATGCTGCTAAGGGGAACTCACTTGGAGGTTGAATTTAATATGTTGCGTCAGTCTCTGACCTTGCGGTTTCGATTTGTTAGTTTGTTTTATGGCGAGTTATCATTCTTTGATGTCATTCTCCACCCAAACAAAATAACCAAACCTCAGGCTTTGGTTTTCGGTATTTTATTTTTTCAAATAAAAAGAACAATTCTAAATATCATCGAAATTTTGTTGCACTACATGATTGTGTCCCACTCGGTATTGATTCTTCACCCAAAAATATGTGCTTTATGTGTGAAGCCTGAAATGTGGAACAAGGTCCAAAATTTTAAGTGAGGCTAATACTTTCGCAAAGCACTGGATGTTTTGTGTGGAAACTCAACATAGTGTTGAGATATTTTTTTTTGCCAGTGCCCAAGGATGTAACGGAGAAAAGTCAAAAAGGGGTACAGATCAAGGAGCAGATGGTCGGGTTAATGTAGCCCGCTAACCCAAACGTGGATTGGCAGATCACAGCTAAGCATGCGCTCGACGCGGCCTGGTAGCGGTTTCTCGGCATGATCATCTGCCTGAGCTCCCGCTGGCCGGCTGCCCCCCCCCCTCCCTCCAGGGACCAATTAGATGGGTAGAGGGAAGCGCTGGAAATAGGAGACTCCCTGCAGACATGCAGTTCATGCCGTAATTGATGCCCCAAAGGTACGCACACACACCTTGCCACATAATGGCCAAAAACTCAAGATGTTGTTTTCTTTGACGATGACTCATTTGCTCACACTTAACGTCAACTGTGATTATGACTTTAACACCACTGAAGGAATTCTGAGAAAAAAACTAGGTGGCTCACTCTCTAGCACTGATCCGTGAAGGGCCCGTCTTTCTCGTTGAATGCTTTCCAATGCTGTGCTGGAGAATCATCCCCCCCCCCATAGGAAGCAATCATGAAAATATATTTTTTTCTCCCCGGATAATTAGAATCAATTAGCATACAGCATTTGCGTTCATTATGAGAGGACATACACAAAGTCAGCAAAGAACCTCAGCTTTGAAATGCACAAGTCGTCAGCCATCTTGGTTTAAAAGTGATGTTTCCTAGAAGTTTACGCAGGTTTACCTGAGCAACGATTGAAGATGTTTATTCTCTGTCACTGGTACAATTCTGGTGGTTAGTCTTTTGCCAAATGAAATCTCACAATAATAATTCAAGTCCTGGGGGTTCCAAAATATATGACAAAACATGATACAATTGTCATGCACATCTTTTTACTGTTATTTGGATTTTATTGTTAATTTCAAGCATTATTTGCTATTTATTTTATTTTATTTATTTGTTTATTTATTTATTTTTACAAAAGTTGATTATAAGCAGTGTGCGTGCTCCACCTCAACCTCTGCAGCGCTGAGTGGGGTTCTTTTGAAAGCCCAACAATCCCAGAGAGGACACATCAACACACACCATAGTGCGCACACACGCATTCCAAACTGTCATCATCATGAGGAAGCAAAGTACACCGCAAATGCTTATGGATTAAACAGCAGTCGAACATGATCTCAACATCCAGCTCTCAACGTATACACTTTGTATGCAATTGGAGTGCTTTAATCCAGCTCAAGTTACACCCACCCCTGAGCCCCCCGAGTTGCCCCGCCGACCCAGCTAAAGACCAATCTGATTCCCCGAGCTCTTCTGTCGACAAACTTGACATTTGACATGACCCAAACGCGAGGTTCCTTGCTTTTAATCAGCGAACCACAAAGAAGCCATATTGGATGCTTGAAGAATAAATTTCATTCTTCCGCATCCTCGTGAAATCGACAGCATCATCTCAGCGAACTCAGTTGCTTCATTAAAAGCCATTGGCGGTTCAAATGTACATTTGACATGTCTAGCCGTCAACAGCAGTGAATGAGTTGAAGGCAGATTGTCAGTCATCTGCTCTAAACATTAGCCGAGGTCGAGCTGTCGGATGCAATATATGGGGAAAAAGGTATTTCGTACGCTCGCACAGTCGCCTCCTTTTACCTGGCGCTCGTAATGTTCAGACCGAGGCATCGCAGTCAGGCCTTCAGAACAAGCTGTCAATCTTGTGTTCCTCAAACTCAACCTCTGAAGCAGTTCAACAATTAGCGCTTAAAATGGATAAATGGTTAGACGTCCTTCAGGGTTACTTGAAGCACTTTGTTATATTCCGTTTTAATTCTTTGCATGGTTACTGCATGCCGTCAGAAGCGGTGAAACGACCAGATATTTTCCACCAGCATTTATTTGGCCAATGGATATTTGTGTTTTATTTGTTTTTATTCTTTTTTTTTTTCATTTTATAATGTGGCCTATATGAAATGTGTATTTTATAAACAAACAGACAGAAGATACCAGAAAATTGGCATTAATTCATGTAATTTTAAGGAAAAAATACATATCGGGATCTGTATCATTCTCCGGATATAAAATGAGCTGTATCGGTATTATAAACTTTGTTCCATATCAACACGAATCTAATCCAAGGTTGTCCGCACTCGGATGATTAAAATAAAGTAAAGTGCGATACTGAACTTCAGTCCTGTACTGCTGCATTTTGTACACAACAGTGCATTGAAAGTACATGAACCTACAATATGTCTCTTACCCACTTTACAGCTGTATCTGTTTTCCTTTTTGCTTTGTTTACGTACGTGAGCGCGGCTCAACGGTGTTTGTTTCAATCACTTAAACGGCATCAGTCAGCACTTTACCCCGGTCAACACTTAGCATGGCGTTTACTGTTCTCTCGGCAGGCACCTGCACACCTTCAGCGGCAGGAACACATTGCTAGCCAAAGAGACTCGTTTCAAAATGTATCACCGTTATGTTCTATTTTTAAGTGTTTTTGTGGGGGAGGTAACTCCCACTGAGATGTGAGAGCATAGAGAGAACTCAAAAGATGCTTGGATGGAGATTGGCGGGGACGTGGTTCAAACTCCCTCGAGAGTTCAAGCGAAACGGCGACAGAAACAAGTGAAGAGGAAGACAGAGTGGAGTTTAGCGTTGTGCATGTATTTATTAGCGTAGAACTCTTCCGAGTGAAGACTTTGAACAAAAGTGACCCTGAAAAAAAAAAAAACATTCTGCTCCAAAATGACATTCAAAAGTCTTCAAGAGGTGATTCATTAAACAGAAATTGGAATTGTTTTTTTTTCTTTTCTTTTTTTTTTTCAGATCAGGAAGTCATTTTCACTTTAATATAAATTTAGTCGGCATGTCCATTAGCCATTTCCAGGGATCCTTCAAAGACGATCTCAAATTAGTGATTTTGTCCAACTCCGTCTTTTCAGATGCTAATGACATTTTTTGATTTTGTGTCCTAGTTCCAGTGCTCAGCAAGCCTTCCTGTTGGAGAACGTTCCATGCACCAGCTCCGCTCTGCCCTGCCAGAGCGTTGGCCGGATGTTCCGCATCCACTGGGACCAGTCGGACCTGGGCGCCATCCCTAATGCAATCATGGCCACCTTCTTTGACATCTACGAGGACGTGAGTAGATCTTACGTTTCTTTGGCCTCTTTGCGTCGATTTTCTTTCTTTCTTTTTTTCTTTTTGTGTGTGTATGGTGACGTCTGTTATTAGAGAATTCTATGGCAGATGGGGCATAAGAACAAGAAGAAATCCAACATCACCAGAATATGAGCTTCCCCTCTAAAGCAGAAAAGTGGATTAGGTCTTAAGCTTTTCCACCACTCATATCAACAAAAATGACTTTCTTCCCTGCCTAAAAGTAGTGCTTGAGCCGTGTGCGTCTTTATTTGTGTGTGGGTTTTGTTCATGTCTGCATGTGTGTAAGTTATATGTGTGTGTGAATAACAGTGCAAATGTGTGTGCATGTTCATGTGTGAGCGTGTTACTCTGTGGATCTCCGTGCGTGTGTGTGTGTGTGTGTGTGTGTGTGTGTGTGTGTGTGTGTGTGTGTGTGTGTGTGTGTGTGTGTGTGTGTGTGTGTGTTTCTGGGGCATCACAACTGCAGTTAAAGGCACATTCAACACCATGAGGCGACTTTCAGCCAGCTGTTGTTTGTGCAAGACGAGACATCCATTTCTTGCCATTGTGCTCCCGGGCTACACAAACACCCACATGCACACACACACTTTTATTAGCACAGCTCTCCATCAATTTGCTTTGTGTATTTTATACGATTCATTATGACTGCTAATATTGTGAGGAAAAGCAGGCCAATGTAAAACCATGCACTCGCTGGACACTTCATTAGGATTCAATGCAAGAGCTGCATGCAAGCAAACCATACTTGCCTTCAAAAAAAGATTGTATTGCTGACTTTGAATTGACACCTGCGAGAAAAAGGAGAAATTTCATCGTGTATCGATACGTAATCAAAGTCTGCCGACTGGCACATCAGCTGCTGTTCCCACTAAAACACGACGCTGTTATCACCAACATGCATTTGTTCAAAGGTTACGAGCACAAGTGCGCTCTCTTTTACAGTTAATGGTCAAAAACATGCAATCGTTTCCATTTACTCAGAAGGAGGGCCATTTAAAAATAAGATGAGGTCATAAACTTACATATGAAAAGCCATTCATTTATTTTCTACCAAATACTGCACAACAGCGTTAACATTTTTTTATTTCCAGTTCATTTGAAACAAATGTTTTGCTAAGATACAAAAATGTTACAGTTCTAGACATTTTTTGGGGGGTGCGGGGATCAGTTCTAGACTAAAGCAGCAACAAAATGTGGCAAAAGGGCTGCAAACTTTTTTTTCTGGATATACTGTAGATAGACAGCTGTGTTTCTTTCCATATCATGTCCAAACAATTTGATTTCTCACAGTTGACCCACAATTAAGCTGTGCAAACATCTCAGGGATGATGAGTGGAAAAAGTGGGATTGCACCAAAGCTCCATTTTGAGTCCCAAGATCTTGTGCACGACCGCGTTCCACCTGCCCTGCAGAATTTCTCCTCTCTCTTTCACTCCAAAGGAATCACTTGAAAAAGACGACGAGTGTTGTAAAAGTTGCGTGTTTGGTGCGCAGGGCATATTGGACATGCTGGTGGTGAACCAGGTGGAGGGCAAGAAAGACTTGGTCATCCACGCCTTGAAGAACAACTTTGAAGCCGATGCCTACTTTGTGAAAGTCATGGGTGAGTCACTTTCGTGGCACTATCCTCTCGCCACTCTTCGCGCTCTTCGCTTTTCTCCCCCCAGGAAAATCTCCTCTGTCATCAGGAGGGGTGAGTGGAGAGATTCGCAGTGTAATTTCACTGTTTTATCATCTTGCATATTTCTTTTTTTTTTCCTTTGTTCCCCTCCCGGACTCATTAGCGTAAGTCAACGCAAGCAACTATTTTCTCCTCTTTTTTTTTTTTCCCACCCCCATTGTGGCAAGCAGATGGTTGTGACTATTATCTGCCGTCTGCAATTTAGATTCCCAGCCCCGAGCTCCTTAACGCTGCCATCTTCATGCAAGGCGAGGAAGACACTAGGCGTAGGGGGCCTGGCTCAGACGAAATGCATTCAGTGGAACATTACATTGCATTTAATTTCGTGTGCTTGAGATGCCAACATGGGCCACAAATGCTATATCTTCAGTATTCATTGACATAACGTTTGAACTGGATGGATGGGCGGGAGGGAGGAAGAGAGGGAGGGGGGGAGCGAGGGAAGGAGGGATGCATGGATTTTATTCCATCTGTGACAAAAAATATTCAGTCTACAATATTTCACCGGTATGTGAAACTTGTTCTGAAACAGAATCACGGCAATGTAAAATATCAGTCTTGTCTTCGAAGCTCATCTCCTAAAAAGACAAATTGATATTGCACTCTCCTAAAAAGAGAAAGATTTAGGCTGTTCCATATTTTATACGCTCGAATGTAGGAATCTATTTGAGAATCCTTCATTTATTATGGAATTGTTTGGGGGTTTTTTTTTTACATTACAATGTAAATGTCAATGAATGAAAGTTTGATGTTTGACATTTTGTTCCTTTGCTGCAATGCAACCGTGACTTTAAAATTAAGGTCCATAGCCAACCGGGATTTATTTATGTATTTATTTTTTGTCGTAACATTATGGTACCACTACCATTTATTGTCATATAATATTGGAGTATCAAAGTAACAACTGAATATTTCTGTCAACTATATTCTGTTACTTGAACCAAATATGGTGTGTGTGTGTGTGTGTGTGTGTGTGTGTGTGTGTGTGTGTGTGTGTGTACAGGGTCACAAGCAAAGTTTTATCTAAATTGAATCAAATTTTCACATTTTCATTCTCTATGAATATCATTTTTAATGTGTCAATTTGTACAGTATGTCTGAGTATACTATCATACCGTAAGTATTGAAAGCTATTCACTTTTTTACATATGTCACAGTGTAATAAATAAAAATTTCCTTCTGTATTCTACACCACATACATAACACCTCATGACGACAATATGAAAAAATATTTTGAGGGAATTTTTGGCAATAGATAACGAAAAAAAAATCTGACCAATAAGATTAGCAGGCGACAACTTCAGAATTTTAATTGCGGAGGGATGACGATTTATTTAGTTATTTTTGGGACAGGCATAACCATTCATCGTATTTAGTAATTGGGTGACAATAGCTTTCTCACACGCTTTGAACCAGACAGTCAGCAATGAAATAACTTCTGTTCCCAGCTTTTGCCCATCTTAGTTGTTTTTTTTTCTTTTTCTTCCACTCACAGCATCCAGACAGCTTCTTTTCAAATCGAATTGTCGCTACCTGGCAACATGTGAGGAGAGCAGAAAATAGTCCCGTGGAAGGCGGGCGGGTTGTGGTTACGGGAGGGGGCGGAGGCACGCTCGGTGTAATCTGTCACTCCGTGCGGCTCATTAGTAGGAAAAGAGCGTCGTTCATCCTTATTTTTTTCTGCAGCACAGTTGGCGAACAGTTGTTCCCTTGTCTTTTGGGAGGGGTGGGCGATGCGTCTGTGTGTGTGCGTGTGTTTGTGTGTATGTGTGTGTGTGTAAGTTGCTCATCTTCTGCCTGCAAGAACACACACACACACACACACACACACACACACACACACACATATCATCAGTGTACACTTGTAAATAAAACAACACTTTAGTACACACCGCGTTTAACAGACTCTCCAGACGGGAAGCTGTTTAACAGCCACCAGATAAATATAGACAGCCCTATTTACATCAAATACCAACCATTGAAATCAGGCCTGTGTCGGATTTGAAAAATGTCTGAACTGTACTATTGTTCATGTTGTCATGAATAAAAAAAAAAAAAACATCTGATATGTCACACTGGGCAAAAAAAATTAAATATTTCAACTGCCTTATAAACATAGCCCGGGTGCAAAGATAGACGCATCAAATTTAGTGTTGATGAAATTGGTTGAATTCTCAAAATTCCAGGGGGCACTACTGAGGCAGTCTTTGGGTTCACTAAAAGGAATAACGAAGTCCAAACAGTGCATTCGGCCCAAATTTTGAAGTTATTGGACTAACTCTCAAGGAGTAATTTGTCTTTGAAGGACCCCTGCAAATAGCCAAAATGACTCGCTCTGTAACTTTGATACGATGGCAGTGACGATCCTTCACGCGGTGACTGATGATGGCCGCTCGCGTAAAGGCGGTGCCGCTGTGAGAGACGCTAGAGGACATGTCGCCGTCCTCAGACAGCAGCGCCAACGTGGATGGATGACGCCGCTGCCATTTTGATAATGGGTCTCGATATAGAGGAGGACTGCTGTATGTGATAAAAGAACATCTGCAGTGAGGCCACATGCAGCACGCATGTATATTTAGAACAGAAGTCCACTTTCTCAACACACTTGGAAAGTCTGCGGAACTGCAGATTTGCACTTTGACCCCCACTTTAATTTAGTTAAGATTAACCTGCATAATCTCCTCCCTTACCGAACCTACATAGCTTCATACGCTAACTCGTCTAATTTACATACCTGACCGGAATTATTCCCAGATTTCCCTAACCCAGCCCTAACTAAACTACCAAACGATATACTCTTCTGCCTTTCTACCTACATAGTACTTCCTCTTGACCCATTTTGTCTGTTGTGTGTCCACAAACCTTACCTTCCGTGAAAAGCTCCCATGGGTCTCCAGTTTTGCCCCCCCCCCCACACACACATACATAGGCTCAAATTGTAATCATTGATTCTGCATCAGATCCAGCACGTTAGTCTGCCAAGTGTTGCCTCACATTTTACTCTGCTGCAAATCCGCGCCCACACACTGACAGAGAGAGAGAGAGAGAGAGAGAGATCTGTTTGCTTAAGACGCCATTCGTCAGCCTTCCCGTGAGCACCATTGAACTCTTGGTCAAGGATTGACTTTTTAGCGCAAGCATAACACACGTACACACACACACACACACACACACACACACACACACACACACACACACACACACACACACACACACACACACACATTTCTGTCGTACTCCATGAAAGTGGATTGATTATCTTCGTGTTGAGTAAAAAAAAAAAATCCCTACAACAGTTTTCAAACCATACTACTAAGGGTTCCTCTTCATGTTCATCTCAACGAAAAAAAACTAATGTAAGTGAATAATGTAGTACATAGCAAAATTCCAAATACATTTTAGCTGTGAAGTCATGTGGGAGAGCCTTCTCTATTCAGATCACGTGTGGCATATCAAAGCAAGGCATACGGCATAACAATCACGCACTCGTGCTGTCAAAAACACGGCGATGTGTGCCAAAACAATCACACTTGTGAACCTCCAGGTTGGAACTTGGAACTAATCGTAAAACCTCATTGAAAAATGAGTAAAGATGATGGAAGGCAGTAAATAAAATGGTAAATATTGTACTTTTCCTTTGAAAATTTAGAGCTCAGCTACTTGAATGTCCTATTCATCTCCCTCGCTGTCAAGGTGTTCATATAATACATCCTGCAGGCACTACACGAAAACCATTTCGTTTGTTAGCACAAAGTCAAACACCTCCCGCAATCATTAAGTAAAAAGTACCTCTCCGTCATGGTCACAATATTTCCTATAATGAGCCAGACGTCTTTGTCAGAGGACCGCCAGCACAGCCCCCCCCCCCCGGAGCCCAACAACAACCAAAAAAGAACTGCCAAACGACTATGAAGTGAGTTACAAAGCGGAGTGGTGCTCCACTTAAAAGACACAATATGGAGCCAGTGTAGACCGACAGATGGAGTCAACCACTTATTACCCGCAAAGCAGTCTTAAACTCTAAAATTTAAAATGGGAGAGGCGGAATCTCTTCAAGTGGGTGTATGCTCGATGTGTGTGCGTGAGACATAGACCGAGAGTGACAGGCAGAACTGTAGCACTTGATTAGTTTCCTGCTCACTTATTAGCATGCAGATTAGCCGCATTGAATAACATCTTTGAGAATTTCTCTCTCTCTCTCTCTCTCTCTCTCTCTCTCTCTCTCTCTCTCTCTCTCTCTCGCCTATTGTCAATCATCCTCCTACTCCTTTGTCTTCGCCACTCCGGCCAACATCCTCTTCTTCATCCTGCTTCAGTCTGTCACTCCAAGTTGTCATTTCTGTCTGAGCATGAAGCCTTTCGGTGCATGCGTTCCGGGGGAGGATTTGAATCTGGGACTGAGCGTGGGGACAAGGCAGACAGCTGATACAATAATGATACAGTAGATCAAAAACTACTATTTACACAGAGTTGTCATTCACATACTGCCCTTTATTTTGCCAGGCTGCCAGCTATTTGCATCCATTTTTCCCCCTGGCAGTAATAAAAGCAATCTGTTCCAGAGTCACAACCGTTAAACTGCATTCACTACCAACCCAATTTACAATACACACTTGCCATGTATAGTTGTCAATGGTGCTGAATGTTTTTTTTTTGAGAAACAATTCACCATTCGAATAGTTAACCACGATTGGTATTCAAAACAATGAAACACTCTTGAGCTTTTTGTGAAATTTTACCGTGAGATATTTCTTACCGAAAAGGGTCTATTCGCTCAATAAAGTTGGACTAGATTATATATGACAAGGCTGGCCTTCTAAACCAAACTGGAGTAGAAAATATTAGAATGTAGTAAACTGTTCTCGGTTATACTGGAGTAAACTAGTTCACAGAGTGAACTACATCAGCATAAACTGCCATCT